AGGAATACATAAATAAAGCTTTTTAGTAATTAACCACAGTACACTGATATGCAGATTACCTTCAGATATTGTGTTTATAAACTTTACTATACTATGTCTCAGTCATAAATGACATTTTCATGGTTCACCAGCAGCCTTTTAAAGTGACCATGTTATGCATGCTGGCCCTGATCCCATACAGAGCACTTGATATAGGTCTTATGTTTACGCACACACACAGTTATAATCAGATTTAACCGTATTTTTTTGCATAGTTAACTACTTACTAACAGCCTATGTCATGCCACCAATGTGTCCATCGCAAGGGCGTTGAAATAGTTGAAACAGTTAGATCCAATCTGATTTGCTAGCTACCACGCAACTTTCTGTCAGTCCACTGGGAAATGTATAAGCTTCCGCTCATGCAAAAACATGGAGCTACGCCATATTTCCTCAAGATCATGCATTTTCAATTGTATTTCATTCTTAGAGGATTTTTAATTTATCCCATTGGATAGTGTCCAAATGATAATAGATATTTAATTTGCATTCCATTTTTGACAAGGATAAATAGAGATAGGCCAAACATTTACACTATAGTGCTTAAAAAAGTCCGAAAACATAGGCAACTCAAGCCATAGAATATAAACATAACGGTTTGTTTTGAAGTGTGGAGACATTGGCTGTGTCCGAAATCGCCGGACATATATATATACCCTTAAATAGGGCACTATTTGAGGCAACAGCCATTTTTAGTGGTGTCCGAAACCATAGTGGACGTTCTCGAGTGCACTCATTCAATCCCACAATGCACTGCAAAAACGAGTGTACAACTGGTGCACGCTCAACGGCTAGAGAATGCCTATAATGCACCGTGAGAGTCACGCGCCGAATGAATTCCCGCATCTCGCCAGAAGATAACGCCCGCAGCTGAATAATCAAGCCGTTCATTTTTACAAAGCGCTCATCCATGGCATACAGCATAATGTACAACACGGGTATAAATTCATTGTAAATTGATTATTAAATTGTTTGATTAGGGTTTATACATAATTTCCGTGACAGAGTTCAAGATAAATCCTTTAATCTTACTACTGGAGCTGCTAGTTTGCTAGTTTCAAATGATTAATAAACAGCAAGCACAAACTATGCAAAAAGCGGCATTCCTTCCGGTGCACTCAGTGTCCGAATTCACTACTCGTTCTCATTCACTCCTTCTAGTGAACTGAATTAGTGACCTAATGTAGGGAATAGTGAATGAGGGTATAGGGGGCGATTTCGGACAAAGCCAGGGACTTTTATTAAACACAGGGCAATCAGGGGAACACAGGTGCATGAAATGAGTCAATTAAGGGTGTTTTCACACTTGAGTCCTCTTTAAAAGAATAGAACCCAGACCGCTTTAAGTGGACCAAGTGAAAAAGGATCCAGTTATCTTTGTGTTCACACTATCGCAGATCCTGAATGAGGACTTTTTTGGTCCACTTAAGCAGTAATGGTGACTCAGACCTCTTTGTGTTCAGAGTGTTGCTTTTTGGATCTAGTCCAGTGTTTGATGGCTGACATTATGGCCTCCAAAACTGGAATATATTTATCTTTTGCACAAAAATATAAGTTTCGTA